GCCCGTTAGCGCTGCTTCGCCGCAGCGCCCGCCCAGTCCAGTCCCGGACCATCTGCGCTCCAGCTGGTGAGCCCCCGCCTGACTCTGGCCCTGGGTCTGTCTAGCTGTCCTCTCTGTCTGTCTGTCTGTCTGTCTGTCTGTCTGCTTCCTTCTCTCTGTGGGTCTGCAAGCCTCTGAGGGTTCCTGAAGGCTGAGCTGGGAGGGATGGCGATCCCATGGATGGGGCAGCCTAGCTCCCAGCCGCTCGCCAAAGGAAGTCTCCTTTGCTTCCAAGGAAGTCTCCAAGTTCGGAAGCTTGGCCCCAGGCCCGCCCTGGCCTCGGGGTGCCTGCGTGTCTTGTTTGTGAGTGCGCTGAATGTAACCATCTCTGTCTTCTCACCCGGGAGGAGGCAGGGGAAGGGGCAAGGCAGGTTCAGATGTCACTCCTGTGACTTGGGGGACTACGAAGCAGGGCAGAGCCAGGCTCTCCAACTAACCAGATCAGGGCTGATTAGGGAAGGGGAGAGGGGAAGGGGAAGGGTGGGCAGGGGATGCAGCCTGGGCTGAGGGCTTCAACTCCCAGGTGCTATGGCTGGACAGGTAGGGCTCAGAGACCATTTGCTGGCACTGCTTCAGGTCACATAATCCGTGATCCCAGGGAAGGTGTCAGGGCTGAGAAGGGAAGCCCCACCCCATTTGCAAAGAGGTCGCGTGATCCCAAGGCTGGTGCCCACCAGAGCAGCATCCCCAATGCTACCTCCTGAGCACCCCTGGGCATTCCCAGTCCCGAGGGGGGCAGGTGCCGAGTCCCCTCCCAGCACCTGCACCAGGTGCCTCTCTGCTTCAAGCTGGCAGGGTCCTGGGTCTGTCATTTGTTTGCACTCAGTGCTGGCACCTACCCCAGTGCCCTCACACCTCAGCAGGTCATAAATCAACCAGGAACAGGGTGGAATTTCATTCATTTCCCTGCCACCCGTCCTTCTCCCCCTCCTCCTCCCACCTCCATCCCTCACGCTACCAGCCTGGCTTCTGGAAATAGACTGCCTGGGTTTGAAACCTGGTTGGGCAAGTTACTTAGCTTCTCTGGGCCTCATCTTCTCATCTGCAGAGTGGAGATAAGTATTCAATAAGTACTTCTGGGTTATATAATTATTATTAACCCCCACTCCGGCCTTCCTCTCACTCTGTCTCTTCCTTCCCTGGGAAAAGGGCACCATGTGAGGCTGTTTCCTTCGCTAAGGGAGGCTCCTCAGCCTGGTCCTCTTTTCTGTGCTCAGCCCTGGAGGACCAGCTATGGGAGACACTGTGGATACTGGTTTTGGAGGCAGGAAGCAAACACACCAAGTGCTCGGAGGGTGGGGCCTGGGAGGGCTGAATGGAGGGGTAGCTTTTGAGCTGGGTGTTGTAGGAATCTAACAAGCTGAAGTAGAGGCAAAGGCCACTCCAAGTAGAAGGAACAGTGGGAGCCAAGGCTTAGCGGCTGGGAATGGAAGGACAGACACATTGGGGAATGTGAGGAGACAAGTTGGGTGCGAGCAAGAGCTGCAGCGGGACCTGCAGTGGCAGGAGGGCTGGGAAGAGGGTGCCCCCTGCACCTGACTCCCCTGGGCAGCTCTCATGGAAGGGAGCTGCCCTGGCCTCGCACCCAGGTCCTTCAGCAGGAGCCCACCCCTGCCTCCAGGGCGTCCCCTTGGAGGGGAGGGTGCCTGTTGGTCCAGGACTGTCCACAGCTTCTAATAAGACCTCCATGACGCTGTGGAACATCAGCCACAGGCAGATCTGCCCAACCTACTCCACAGCCCATCAGAGCATGTCCTACAGAGGGGGACCCTCTAGTGCCACCCCCTCTCAGAGAGAGGAAGGCGCCTGACTCAAGTCACATAACACTTTGGTGGCAGAGTGAGGAGCATCCTGACTCCTGGGATAGCGAGCAGGCTACTTTCTCAGGCCAGACCCGC